CTGATGCAGGCATGGGGTGCCCAGGACAGACAGAGATCAACTGGAGGCTGCAAAACAGATGCTTGAGTCCCATCTGCATCACATCTCATATGAAACCAGGCTGCCCAGGGCCCCATCCAACCTGGCCTTGATCACCTCCAGGGATGGGGCACCCACAACCTCTTTGGGCATCCGGTTCCAGCGTCTCACCACTCTCTCTGTAAAGAACAATCCAACCTGACATCCCATCTTCAACTCAACACCACGTCCCCTTGGCCTGACGTCAGCCACACCATCAAAGAGTCGACTCCCCTCCTGTTTGTAGGCTCCCTTTATGTACGGAAGGCTGCAATGAGGTCACCGCGCAGCCTTCCCTTCTCCAGGCCAAACAAGGAGATCTAGAGTGAAATGTAGAGGGGCAGAACTGTCAATAAAGCCTTACCACGGGCCTATCCTTTAAACATCTCCGCGATGCCTGTGGCGGCGTCATTGCATCTTTTTACGCCAGCTCTCGTGCCGGTGGAGGGAGAAAGAATTGTGAGAGGGCATCAGGGCGTCTCACGATGTTTCACTTGATGCCAAAGGACATCCAGCATCTCTTCTGTCTTATCTGGCTCCCAAGCCAGACTGAGTTCTTTGCCTTTCGGGGTAACTAGAAGCTGTGTGTGCTGTTGCCTTTGTAACCTCTTGCTGTTTGGGTTAAGGGTTGTGCTTCAGACTTTGTGGGCTGGGTCTGAGGAGGCCCCTGAGTGCCTCTGGCTTTGAGCCTCAGTCAGTGGCAGTTGTTGGTTAGTGATCTGTGTGTGTGTGAGTGGTGGTACCGAGAGCTGTGTGAATTCCTTGGCGAGGCCAAACGGCGTGGAGCTCCTTCTACCCCTGCTTGTGCAGGTCAGGAGTGAAGCACGTTGCTCAGTGCCTGCAGCTGCAAGCTTTCTGTTTGCTCGTGCAGCTTTGCTGTGAGCGATGCGGAGCTGTCAGGCAGACTTGGGTTCATTTGCCACTCTCAGCAGCAATGAGACCAGCAATACCTTCAGTAAGCTGCATTGCAGCTGAGAAATCAGTTGGTCTGGCAGCAGAAATGCCGTGCTGGAGGGATCGTTGGTGGCCGTGAGCTGACAGCACAAGCCTTGTATTGGCCACTGGTGTATGTGACGTGGATTGATGGCAGCTCGTTTAGCGGAGGAGCCTGGGATGTGATTGAATCGTATTGTGGAAGGGGGGAAGGGAAAGCCTCTGTGGGTAAGAAGCTGCTGTGAGCTGTAGTGCTGTAGCACTGTCCTCTTACCTAGGCTTTCTGTTTGTTGTTTCGTGGGACTTTCGTCTCTTTCCTTCTTCTGCTCTTACCTGAAGATCTTTGTGCTGATGATTGCCTGTGTTATTGTACAGGCTAAAGTTTGTTAAAGCAAACTGGGGCTAAAAGGGCAGCAGGCAGCTTAGCTCTGTTTAATGACTGTGTGAGTAATTAAATGTATTGCTGATTCTTCCTAAGGATGCCATAAGTGAAGAGGGTTTTTTTTATTATTATTCTTGATTTTATGCCATCGGGGTTGGTAATAACCTGAAGAGTCTGGGAACCTCTGGGGAAAATGGTTTGTTGTCTTATTTTGCTTGGTGGCAGCTGTTGCAGAGAGTGAATTCACACAAGGAGCCAACTAGAAAGCACTGCGTGCTGTTGGATCTGCACTGTCACCATCTCTCTTGCCCAGGGCTGTTGAGAGCAAATGAGGGATCTGACTTCCCCACTACTGTTCTCTGTTTGCGTGGTAACAGATGTCAGTCTGCTGAAAATGACAGCCTGGAACCAATTGTGATTGTAAAACACTCAGTTTCTGCAGCCTGGTAACTGTTCCGTGTTGCAGCAGCAGCAGGTAGCAGAGCAGTTACGTTCCCAGCTGTTGAGCTCATGTTCAGCTGCTAAATCACAGCTAAACCATCTCATTCTGCTGAGACACCCCCTGAGCAATGGGAAGCAGATTTAATAGGTTTATGAAGGAAGCAAAATCGTAAACCTCTAAGAAAGTACAGACAGGGAATGTTTAAAAAGAAAAGGGTATTTCAGAGGATTTCAGGGATGCGAGTCTTGTTGGAGGCCAGGAATGACAGGAGTTCCTGAGGGGTTCTGATGCCTTCACCAAGGATCTGGTAGCGGGGCAGGGTGAGCCCTCAGAGATGCAGCTGACACAACGCTGGGGGCAGCGACTGACTCGCAGAGGGCCGTGCAGCCATGCAGTGCTCTCAGCAGGTTGTGAGGTGGCCGACACAGAATGACGGAATCGTAGAAGTGTAGAGGCTGGAAAGAACCTCTGGAGATCGCCTGGTCCGACCCCCCTGCTAAAACAGGATCCGTCCAGCAGTAACTTCATCACTGGAGTCTCACGAAGTTCCTTAAGCAGTGCAGAGTCCTGCACCTGGGGAGAAACGATCCCAGGCACCGCTGTGTGCTGGTGGCACTCGGCTGGAGAGCAGTTCTGCAGGACAGAGCCTGGGGATCCTGGTGGACGCCGAGCGGAACGGGAGCCAGCGGTGCCACTAAGAAGGCTGGTGGCTTCCTGGCTGCGTTAGGCAAAATATTGCCAGGTGCGATGGGAGGGGATTCTTCCCCTGTGCTCAGCGTTGGTGAGCCTGCACCTGCAGCAGGAATCTGTCAAATTGCCTGGCTCCAATTTTCATGGAAAAGGAAATAAATACTGGGAATAATTTCAGTTTCTACTTTCAGCTCCCATTTTTGCAGAAAGGGAATCCAGGCGTGCATTGGGTTTGCCTGCGAACCGGACGCTCCGTTGCTGCTTTTCTGCTTCCAACGTAAGCTCTGCTCACGTTCCTGGTTGCCTTTCAGAACTGCTCTGCGAAGCAAAGCAGAGCCGGCACGCTGGGTTCAGTCTCTGAACAGAGGCCTTAAGCTGACTGGCAGCAGCAGGGCGGCATGTCATGGTGAGCAGGCACAAAGCCACAGCTCTGTGCTGAGGTGGTAGGGGAACGTGCTAACTTCTAGGAGCTACACACCTTAACTGTGAATAAAGGGCTGTTGGTTGTTAGATAGTGAAGGAAGGTTTTACACACAGAGACCTACCGAAAAAACCAACACCACGTCTCTTTTCAGTGCCCCTGAATTCTGCTGTGTGATCCAGGAACTCGTGTCTCATGGCAAACTCCTGCATGTTGGATTCCACGGCCGTCAGGCACAGTGCCCATTTGCCAGGTGCTGCACTCATTACAAACCCTCTCTGAAACCCACGTCTGGCAGAAGGCTCTAGAAGTGAACTGAAACGTTGCGATGCAGTAATGCTGTGCTCAAAACTGCTCGTGATTAAAGAGAGGCAGGAAATCCTGGTGTCAGTTCGGTACGTCAGCATTTGAAGTCCTGCTGTCTGTCATCTCAGCTTCGCTGAGTTCTGCAACAGAGCTCAGAAATGCAGCTCACAGACCTTACTGCCTTTCAGGGTACCTGGGGCATCTGTGGCAAGGTGTGATCTCTGGGAATTCTGTGGAGCATTTCAGATGTGAATGTCTCCTTATTAACAGCTGCCAGTTAATGTAATTTGTGTTACATTTAGCTTCGTCGTTTTTGTACTTATTTGATGGACAGAAGAACAATGCTTCTATTTTTTTTCTTGCAGTCTATCAGACAGCTCTCGAGCTGCTACTGCAAATTTTAATCCTTCCTGTTCTCCATTCCTTTGCCGTTTCTTTGACCTGTTTTTCCGTTTAGAAAGTTCTCCTTGCCCTGGATGCTGTGCAGTGCTATCAGTTTTCTCAGGAGATGTGCAGAATCATTGCTGCAGGTCCCAGAACAATCCTGCAGTGTGCATCTGATGGCTCAGTGGAAATGCCAACCTCACACTGGTGTTCCACGGCACACAATTCTGTGTGCCTGACAGCTCCTGTTCCCAGTGCTACATGTGCACATGTAGGAAAGTTGAAAAGCAGAAGCGAAATGAAAAATTGCCATTCAGAAAACACCTCTCACCAAGAGCCAAGCCTCAGCTCAGTGGAATAGCTCCTCGGTTTCCTTTACATCCAGTGATTGAAATGGGTAGATGTGAACAAAGGCATTTGTGGTAATGTGTTTGGGTTTCTTCTGTTCTTCTGTTCTTTTGTTTTGTATTGACTTTGTTCCTACAAAGTTGCATCTTAGTCTATTAAGACCTGGCAGGCAAATCTGCACTTGGAGAAGCCTGCAGCTATTTGGGAAAGTTTCCCATAAGGTGAGGAAAGAGTAGGGGAGGGAGGGGAGGAAAAAATGGGAGGTAGGGGTGAGGAGAGGAGAGAGGGGGTGGGGAGGGTTGAAGGGAAAATAATGAAACAAAAAGAGAATAAAAAGTGAAAAGCAATGGATGGTAACATATACAAGAAAGCAAGTAGGAAAGCTACCCATAGCACAGCAAAGCAGGAATGAAAAAAAGCAACCTTGCAGGAATGGAGGAATGTGGGAAGAGCTGAGGCCCTGCCTGCCACAGGAGCTGCATGGAAGGAGAAGCTGGGCCCAAAGGTGAGAGGGGTTTGGTGCTTTGGTCCCTTGTTCTCCATCCCTTCGCTTCTGTCCATCTCTCCTTCCACGTTTTCCACCCATCCTCTTCTCCACCCGTCCTCTCCCCTCTGTTCTCCATCCATCTCTTTCCACGTCCTCCATTCTGCTCTCCTCCCCCACACCCCCTAGTCCATCCCTTCCAGCTCCCCATCGCCCACCCCTCACCCCATTCCCTCCCCACCATCTCCCCCTCCTCTGGCTTTAACACAACCTGGGAAAAACAAGGTTGTCCCCCAGAAGTTACAGAAATCTTACACCACGTGCACTTAGGAGTGTGGCTACCAGGGATGCCTGGCAGAGCCAAAAATGCAGCCCCAATAGCAGTGAAGGTAAAAGCAGGAGCCAGCGCAGTCAGGGTAAAGCAGCGCCCTTTGAGGAAACGAGAGTGCAGAAGGAGAGAAGAAATCATAAATAACTGTTTGGAGTTTGGATTGCTAATTGAATGTGAATCCAATGTGCTGAATGCCCAGAACACTTTTCTGCCACACGTAAGTGGAGGTGCATGGAAAAGGTAGCTTTTATTGCGGAGCTGACTGACTGGAGTGTGTGTGCTGACTGAAGACTTGATTCTTCTTTTTCTTTGCTCGGGAGCTGGGTAACAAGGTGGGCCTTCCACAGACAAGGGTTTGGACTCCTGGTTTTCAGACTCTTTTAGCTGCATATTTAGAGCTCATGATAATCCTACAAGAGTAAAAATAAAATGCATTAGTTACTAAATTGGAAAGCATTCTAGGCAGAAATGTGTTCTCACAATTCCTCCCTGTTCCACTGCAGTTACTGGCAGCACTCTGCAGATGCTGAACTGTTTTGCTGGAGAACAAATGCATATTCAGCAATGTTGAAACCACGTTGTCAGTTGGCTGCCAAAATCCACGAGCACACCGTGGTTTCAAGGATTGCAGCAGGCACTCTGTCAGTGTACTGCTGTTACAACGAACCGATGGGCTCCAGGCAATGGCAGGTGGGTTCCATACCCTCAGGGCCACCCCCACAGGTGCCCATGGAGGCACACTGCTCTCTGCGGCAGGAATCCTGTTTTCCTGGCCATCCCTCCATCCACTTGTATTTGCATCCATCCTCTCATCCAACAAGCGTTCCATCCATCCCACGGCCCTTCCATCCCTTTGTCCATCCCTCCCTCCCTCCCTCCAACACTTCTCTCCTCTGTCGATCCCTCTGTCCATCCGTTCCTCTCTCCCAGCAGCCTCCCCCCATTACCCACCAGAACCTCCTCTGGAGCTCTGGCGGATCTCCCCATCGTGGTGCCTCCAGGCATTTCCTTGCCACCCTGCAGGTGCCGATGTTCTGCTCCCTCTCCCTCGCATCACCCCATCCTGTTGCTCAGCAGCCCTCCCCACTCTTCATTCAAAGCCTCCCTTGTGAAGCTGCCATCCTCCTGACGAAAACATCCTCGCCTCCCTTAGAGATGGGTGCCATCCCTCCCACGCAGACACCGACCTGCAAATCAGTGCTGCAGGCACAGAACCCGAGCCCCTGCCACCAGCACCAGTCCTGCAGCCGAGGATGGGCAGCACCACCAGTGCCCTCCTGTCACGCCTGTCCCGCAGCACCACCTGGGCCCCCGCACCCTGGACCACCGGCCCCACAGCTCTGCACTCACTTCTGATGCAGCCTTACCCGTGCCCACCTTTCTTCCTGCTGGCCTCGCACAGTGAGCCACATGAGCTGTCGGGTGGACCGCATCCATCGCGTGGAGGCACTGCAGCCTCCTTCCAGCACTGAGGGTGCTGGAGCTGCGAGTCCTTCTGTGGGGCAGGAGCATCCTCCGCTGCCAGGGTTTTCCAGCTGCAGTCCGTCACCAGACATGAGGCTGCGCTGTGGGGCTGCAGCACTGGGCCGGCAGCTCAGCAAAGCCCCTGAGCACGGCGGAGACGAGCGGGCGGCCTGCGATGCCTTCACAGCATTATGCACTGCGGGAATGAAATGTTGTTCCTGCGCTGGATGTTGAGATGGACAACTGACCTAAAGAAATAGAACACGACGTGTTTGCATTCCGTAACTTGTCTGTAGGAGTAGCTGATGTGACAAGGAGAGATATCATCTGCATATCAGGAACACACTTTAGACACACAGTTACTGCGCTGTGCGACACATTCTTCCTCACACAGTTGCAATAGACCTTAAATGTTTTAAACAATGTAGGTACAGTATTCTGAACTAGAAAACGTGCTGTAAGACTGGTGAGCCAGCAAACATGAAATGCGTTTAACAAGCTTTCAAGGAGCCAGGGCTTTTACACAAAGCACAGCTGTCCCACTCTGTGGCAATCTCAGGATGCCGTAGGCAGATCCAGGATGCTCCCCTCTATCCTCCCTCCAAGCTTATCTCGATGCAAGGACAGACAGATGACCAGAACGGTGACCCAGTGTAAAGGGCGCAAATGCCAAGGGGGTAATTAAACAATGAAGAGGTCAGGTTTACGTTTATGCTGTAAAGCAGGCATCCGAAAGTGACAACCAGATGTTTGTTAAGAAAGCAATGGTCAGAAGGCCATTAACCAGCGGAGATGTTTGTGTCTGCATGGCAAGGATCTGTGTGCACTTGCTATTTGTGGGATCAGTGAAGTGTCGCAACAGAGTGCGAACCTGCAGCACTCAGCAGTGAGGAGCCAGGGCAGAAAGGGATCAGCGTCGGGCAGCAGGGCATAAAAGGTGCAGCACTGCTTTCTGTGCGCGCTCCTGCTTGCAGGAGGCCCAACACTGCCATTGCAAATAAAACCTGCTTTATCAAAGACACCGTCCTGGAAAATCATTGGGCATTTCCAACATCACCACCACTTACAAACACCTGCAAAAGCCAACAAGAGCCACGTTCTGTAGTGCTAAGAACGCACAGCTTAGCAGGCAGGAGCGTGGGGCTTAGGAGAAAGGTCAGAGGTTGGTAGAGAATTGCACATCACAAAGGCACCACGAGCAGGGTTCTAAGGGCAGTGTGATCCAGGAGTCCCAGAAGGAGGTGCTGGCACCTTTGGCACGCGACCCCAGGACAAGGCAGCTCGGTAGGAGGCATCAGGCAGCGCTGATGAGACGCGCTTTACGGACAGTCCTTCTTTAATAGCTACCATTCCAGTGACAGCAATGGGCTGAGAGCAAAGGCTCCACACACAAACCTGGTGGCTTACGCTCCCACCAGTCAAGGCAAACAGAGCAAGACGATAAGGCTGACCTGCAAGCAGGCACGGTGCAGCCAAAGTCCCTTGTGCAGTCACTGGGGCAGCTTCCCCACCTCCAGCCCCACAGGCAACACACACACACAGAGCACAGCACGGCTGGTCGTGCTCCACGCTCAGAAAGCAAGCTGACAAGCTGGAGCTCCACAAGGACGTGGAGATCACTTCATGATCTCTGCTTTCCATGCTGGAGCTGCAGCCGGTTGTACTGAGGTTTCTGAAGCCCCTTTCAGTCTCAGGAGGGAATGAAACAGCCCGAATGGAATGGATGCACTGGGGCTCTCTCCAGGACACCTGCTGCCTCAGAGGAGTTCACATCCACTGAACAGCCATGGAGCTCCTGCAAGGGCACCACGCACAAACAAGGAAGGGAAGGAAAACCCAGCACACTGTGCAGGGGTGCTGCCTCTCAGCAGGTGATCCCTGTTCCGTGTACAGAGGATGGACATCAGCTGCACCTCCTCTGTTCCCCATTTCTTCTCCCCCGCTTCATACAGGCACTGACAGACATTGTGGATGACAAAGTAAGGCTGATGGAGAAGGCTGGGCATACAGGAGATCTTTAATTCCTGCAGCTAGAGCACTGCTGGCCCGTGCTTGTCCAGACCATGGATATTTTCCAGCAAGCACCAACCAGGCACGGCAACCCACAGCCAAAATGTCACTGCCCCTGCCAAGCAGCCAGCCAGTCTACAGACTCTCATTAGAGGCTTGCAAACGAGACTAGAGCCATTATTCCCATTTCACAGGCTGGCTTCTCTTCACCATGCATCACACACACAAGAATAGATTGGGAAGCACATTACTACACACCTGAGCATCTGCTGAGCAAGGCCATCATCCACATGCATTCCCTCACCTCTGCAAGGACACAAGGAGAGAAGACTCGGTTCACCAGAGCATCTACTGGAAGCAACTCCTGAGAACTCCCCATTCAGGAACGGGTGCTGGAGATGGATAATGGAGTCCTTCAAAGGGAACACAGCTCACAAACACAGCGAAACACAGCTCAAGTGTGCTTTGGGCTCCTTCTGAAACGAGCAGCAACCCACTTTACTGGCATGTTTAAAGAAGAGCCCACAGCACTCACGCACAGCCAGAGTCAGAGCCCCCTCCCTGCAGAAGCTGGGCTTGAGGAGCAGCCATGGGACGCACAGGGTGAGAAAAAGCCAGCCTGGAGCTCCTCACCACTGAGTGCAGAGCTGTGCCCACAGCTCTGAACATTCAGCCCCTTCTCCCTCAGCGTGGCTCAGCGCCATGAGGGACACGAGGACCCTTGGGAACACGGCAGATGTGTCAGATACGACGCCATCCTCAAGGGAGCAGCCAGCTTCCAGCAGGAACACACACAGCATCCGTAAGGAGCAGGGCCACCACCTGGGTGCTGCCCACAACATTTGCCAGCCATCACCTGGCTGCATCTCTCGGCATCACTGCAGCGCTCCAGCCATCATCATCAGTGCTGCAGCCTCCAATTAAGAAGCACAGACAGCAAGAAACTGGCAAGAGAGCCACACGTCCCGCTGACAGACAGAATGCTCCTCCCCATTTCAGTTACACCAGTTCAGCTGCTGCTGAAATTCCAGTCTAGCTTCTCTCTGCACAAACAGCAACACCCAGGTTGGCCAGTTTGTCACACCTGAAAGCTCCCCAGACTCCTTCCTATCACGCCTGCCTGCACACACACACACTGATGGCAGGCAGCAGGACAAGGCCTGCCCTTTTGCTCTGCTTACGAAGCTCGCAGTTCTCATCAATGTGACCAATCTCTTCACTGGTGTGAGAAGCCAGAATTTCAATCAGGCAGCCTTCACCTGTTCCTGCTCCCTAGGGAATCGCCAAGCAAGATTTCAGATACCAGCACCTGCTTGTGACGTGCAGCCAGGTTTCTTTAAGAGTTAATAAATGAGAAGACGTACATAACAAAGCAGCAAGTCCTTGGCCAGAACTTGAGCCATTCGAAAGGAAGACTTCCAAACCTTCACAGCCCTCCTTAGTTCTGCACGTCACACACGGTGCTGGCGGTCATCATCCCAATCATCACCCTCTCAGAATTCCCACTCAGCTTCAAGTCACTTCCAGTCATCGATCAAACCCTAGAAGGCCAAGAGAGGAGAAAGGAGCTGGCAGAAGGCGCGGCCTTCGAGGACAGAAGGAACTGAGCTGCTCACCACTTCTCTTCAGGCTCCAACCCTCCTTGCATCAACAACTGCACTGAACTGAACAGGAACAAAACAACCTTGGCCAGGTAAAGTCTCTGCTGACCTTTCTCTTATGGAGGCTGGGTCATTTTTCGCTTTTCACCCAGTGACCCAACCACGTTCACACATCTCTGCAGAGCACCTACCTGCAGGAGTGCTCTTGTAGGTGATCAGAACTCGCTGACGTTGGGAAGCATTGAGTTTGGTCAAGCCGTCAGTGATGGCATCTTCATCTGTGCCTGCAAGAAACAAATGGAAGCTGGTCAGGCTGCTTGCACAAGAATCAGAAGTGCCCTCTGCTCTTGTGCCACCTCCAGGCCCCTACACAGCCAGCTCTCAACAGCCCCAGGACTACAGCTATGCACACAAAGCTGCCAGGACCCACACCTCCAGAGCAGCTGCATTTCAGGACATGAAGGGCAGCTCTGTTTCCACTTTCCAACAATTTTTAGGGCAGCTGTGTTCCAGCGAAGATCATCAGCAAAACAGTGCTCACCTTCATGGAGCCTGGGCTTTGGAAGACGGGCACAGGAATAACCTCTGCATGGGTGGAACCTTGTGGGTTGAACCAGGAGAGAACAGCATGCCCAGAGAGTTTATCTGGAAAAATACTTCCTCTGTGAGCTGGCACTCAGTTGGATTTTCTCAAGCAGGAAAAGCAGACGTGCATTGTCCTCTATAGGAAAAGCAAACGTGCACTGTCCTCTATAGGAAGAGACAGAAAGAAATTACACATTTACCACTCATAACAAGACAGACAGTGCTCTTCCTACACTCCCTACGCTGACCTGATTGCAGCAAATGCCTGGCACAGCATGGCACAGCAAACAAGCACACTCACCATCATTCGAGTTTTGGGTCAATCTCTTCTCATTCAGGTCCACCAGCAGCTGGCAGCTGCAATAAAAACCAGCGAGAGCATTAGTTTTCCAGCAAACAGCTGCTGGTGAAGTGATTGTGACTGTACAGCACGGCGATAAGCAGGAAGCAGGGCTATTAAACAAGCAAATCGCAGCACAAAAGCAAGGTCAGTACAACAGAGGAGGGAGGCAGAAGTGCTGTGAGTGCAAAAGAGCCGGCAGAAAGAAAACCCAACGCAGCGCCATCTGTCTGTGCTGCGGCCGGACTGACTGCGGCCGCCTCACGGCGCCTTTGTGCTGCTCCAGTCCCTGCCCTCAGTCAGCGCCATCCCCTCCATCTCTGGTACAGCAGGAGACGCGCACACCTCCACGCAGCCGCAGACACGTGGAGATGTTTCCTGGGACCGCCGGAGGAGCCCACGGCCGCACACTGCCCTCACCACCCCCATCTTCCCAGTCCCCAGTCCTGCCCTGTGCTGCTGCTCTGCAACGAACAGCAATCCAGCACACAGCGTCCCGCAGAATCACAGAATCACTCATGTTGGAAAGGACTTTCAAGAGCACCGAGTTCAACCGCAGCCTGACCATACTGCCCTAACTCTAACAAGCCTCACAGAATCTCAGAATAGCCAGGGCTGGAAGGGACCTCAAGGATCACAAATCTCCAACCCCCTGCCACATGCAGGGCCACCAACCTCCACATTCAACACCACACCAGGCCGCCCAGGGCCCCATCCAGCCTGGCCTTGAACACCTCCAGGGATGGACGGGGCATCCGCAGCCTCTCTGGGCAGCTGTTCCTGCACCTCACCACTCTCTCTGTAAAGAACTTCCCTCTGACATCCAACCTCAGGCTCCCCTCCCTCAACTTCAAACCATTCCCCTTGTCCTGCAGTTATCTACCCTTTCAAAGAGTTGATTCCCCTCCTGTTTGTAGGCTCCCTGTAGGTACTGAAAGGCTGCAGTGAGGTCACCCCGCAGCCTTCTTCTCCCCACGCTGAACAAGCCCAGCTCCCCCAGCCTGTCCTCACAGGGGAGGTGCTCCAGTCCCCGGATCATCTTCGTGGCTCTCCTCTGGACCCTCTCCAACAGCTCCCTGTCTTTCTGGTACTGGGGGCTGCAGACCTGGGCGCAGTGCTGCAGATGGGGCCTCACAAGAGTGGAGCAGAGGGGGACGATCACCTCCCTGTCCCTGCTGCCACCGCTCTGCTGATGGAGCCCAGGATCCCACTTGCTTTCCCCGCTGCAGGAGCACTGCTGCCTCATGTCCAGCTTTTCATCCCTCAGGACCCCCAGGTCCTTCTCCGCAGGGCTGCTCTCAAGGACCGCTCCTTCCAGGCTCCCTCCGCTAAATCACGGCGCCCTGAGCACCGCACCCGGACGATTTTTAAACACATCGGGGATGGTGGCTCAACCCCCTCCCTGGGCAGCCCACTGCAGTGCTCACCAACCCTTTCCGTACAGTAGTTGGTCCTGATATCCAACCTCAACTCACCCCACGTCTGCGCGTTCCGTGGAACCCCACAGATGTGACAGCGGGCTCCGGCTTTTGGGCGCTTCTCAAAGTGCGCCAGCGCGCGGCGTCAGGAGCGGAGGAGGCAGCAGCCGAGCCCGCCGCTGACGCTGCCGTTGCGCGTCCCTCCCCGGGCCTCCCACGGCTTCCTCTTCCCGGCCCCGCTCGGCTCATCGTGGGCTGCAGACACCGCTGAGGCACTCGCACCGCACGGCCGCCATCTTCCCGTGCTGCCGGACCGCTCTCTGCAAGCTGCGCTGAGTTCCCGCAACGCAACAACCGCAGGCATCGCCACGGGCAGCCGGGCCGGGGCCCTGCGGGACGCGCGGTGATGACGCAATGACGGCGCGACCGCGGGCGGAAAGGACCCCGCGCGCAGCGCCCGCCCCGTTCCGCGGGCCGACCAATGGCAGCGCGGCGGAGGCGGGACCGAGCGCGGGCTCTCCGCTAATGGCGGCCGCGGCCGCAGGGCCGCCGCGATGTTGCCGGCGCGCCGGCGGAGTCGCGGGGTTCCGTGCGGGGAAAGCGGCGCTCCGCCGCTCCGCGTCCCCGCCGCCGCCCGTCCCATGCCTCGGGCCGTCGGAGGAAGGCGGCGCGGGGGCCCGTCCGTCCCCGCCGGCACCGAGCCGTCCTCCGGAGTTGTCGTTTGCACGGGAGCCGGTTGGGAACGCGGTCGTTTGTCTGTCGCTCTGGGTGTTCGTCGATTAAACGTTTCCCGTTCGTTTCTCGGCGCTTCTGCCCGCGGTCGTTTCTGCAGCTCCAATAACCCGCCCCGTCCCCGTGCCCACCGCCGGGTAAGGACTGGGCGGCGCAAACGGCCGTGTCGTAGCACTGCGAGCGCCGGCCCCGTCGCTCCCCCCGCGTCCCCTCCCCTCCTCGGCACCGCGTGGGAAATGGCTGGGGTGGGATTCCAGGAGAGCTGGGGCGGCTCAGCCTGCAGAAGAGGAGGCTCGGGGCGATCCCGGGCGCGGCCATCGGTCCGTGCAGGGAGCTGCGCAGAGGACGGAGCCGGGCTGCGCCCGGCGGTGCCCAGCAGCGGGACCGGAGGCTCACGCTGCAGCACAGCAGGTTTCCCTGTATGTCACCGCTGAGCCCCCAGCTCCGGTCAGCGCCGTTGGATACTTTTGCCACTGATCACAATGCAGGAGATGGGAGCATCCTTGTGAAATCCACCGGGCATCCTAAGGCACGAGGTGCTGCTGGCACTCCTGAGGCTTTGAAGGGGCAGCGGGGAAAACTGGAGGGCTCAGGGCAGTACTGGGAGCTCTTGAAGGGGCTTTGAGGTGCTGTGGGTTCAGAATGGCGTTTTTTCCTCGTTTTCACACACAAGGTGGCTCAGTAGCTACCAGTTGGTGGCAGCTGAGCCCATCAATATTGTGGCTTAGAGGTATGACACCAGCACCTGGCACAGGAGAACTCTGTAAGCTAAGTGCCAAGGGAAGAAAAAGGGAAACTTTAAATTCATTACCTCCTGTAAACTGGTAGTCATTGGCTTCTTGTCACACCCTACTCCTGTAAAGCAGGATAACAAGGATTTATCGACGTTTGCAAATGTGGTAGAGATTGCTGCATACAACCAAGTGCACATGGCTGAGCTCTCCCGTCTCTGTCCCAATTCTAGAAAGACCCAGAAGAGCTCAGCATTCTCCTGCTTTCATTTACTTACATGAACTATTTTAAAGTGCGTGCTGTTATAGGCTGGCACAAGCTTTAGTGCCTAAAGCCACAGCTTGAGAGGTCAGCACCAGCCCTGGGCCTAAAAACAGCCAGAGAGACCAGCACCAGCCCCAGGGCCTGAAGGCACAGCCTCAGCCATGAGGCCAGCACAGGTGGAAAGACACAGCCACAGCCTGAGAGGCTGGAAGGGTCCTGGGGCCTAAAGCCACAGAGAGGCCGGCACCAGCTGCGGGGCCTGAAGCCACAGACAGAGAGCCCAGGGCCTGAAGGCACAGCCAGGGATGCTGACAGCGGCCCCGGGGCCTAAAGCCACAGCCACAGCCAGAGATGCTGGCCCTGGACACAGGGCCTGAAGCCCCAGCCAGACAGACCAGCACCGGCCCCGGGGCCCAAAGCCACAGGCAGAGGCCAGCACCGGCCCTGGGCACACAGATGTGCACTATTGCTTCTACTGGTTCCCCTGGGGCTCCGTTGACCACGACGAGGCCATATTGGTCTTAACTGGTTTTTATTGGGCTGCATGCACAAGAGTCATCCCCACTCCTCCGTTATCTCATGTCACAGAGCCCCACTGGGTGACCTGGTGTTGGTTTCCTGCCATTTGGATCTGGGAGGCGTCCGTCTCCTTCCCTTATGATGAAGGCACAGAAGCCATGCGGGCCGTCACTGAGGTCACAGTGGTTCCCGGTCTGGGAGCATTTGTGGCACAGCTGGGAGCAGAGCTGGGGCTGTGGCAAGCGTGCTGCACGCAGACTGAGCTGTGAGCCCTTCTTGAGAGAGATCAGCTGTGAGAGCCCACTGGAAGCAGCGCTGCGGCGTGTGCGTGAGCTGGGCACGGCTCAGGGTGAGCAGTGAGCAGGTGAGCTGGGTTGGTGCTGGGTGGGTGCCGGGAGGTGTCTCAGCAGAAAGCGGGGCTGGGCAGGAGTTCCCAGCTCCAGCGGTGCCCCTCAGCACGGCTGTGTCCAGGGGAGATGGGTTCTGGTTGAGATTCCCTCCCACAATTCGATGAGGACAACGAAATGTCATTACTCCCTTGGAAATCCACTGCTGGGCCCCTGCCTTCATGTCAGACATTAAAAAGGAAGGAGAGTGCAGGCTGCACAGTGCAACTTGTGCCTCGTGCCCCACGGATGGCTGGGTGCAGAGCTACTGAGGAGATGGAGAAGAGCACCTGCTGGCACCAGCCGTGGCAGTCAGACACGAGCTGGAGCTGGCACTAGGCAGCTCTTGCAGCCAGCTGATTTCCAGACATTGTCCTCCTCAAGGGACCAAATCGCATGGCAGAAGCTGGGAAAATGCTTCTTCCTCATGATGTTTCGCTTGATAATTTCTGCAGGGCTCCTGTCCAAACGGAGTTTCAGAGATCGAGGCAGTGTCAGGAAGAGTGGAGCCAGGTCTTTCCAGGAGCGAGGGAAGTTCCTGCAGAGAGAGTAAGCTCTCTCTTCAGCTTCCTCTGAGACAGCAGTCATGTCTCAGCGAGGAGACATGGAGTGTGTGACAAGAAAGGTACGGCTGGGTTTCTTTTGCTTGGCTCTTCTTCCTTTTTCTCATTTTTAAGGGAAGGGGCCGAGCAGGGGGAGCCCTGCATGTCCTTTGTGACCTCAGTAACCAGTTGGGTTCTGTGCTCCCTGCTGACAGCGTGGGCTGATGGCGTGGACACGGCTCAGGCCCTATTTTCCCTTAGCGATAAATAACGTCCCAGCACTCTGCTATCCCATCTCCGGCACAGCCTGGAACCTCTCTGCAAACCTTGGCTGCCCGTTCCCTCCAACGTTTCTTCCTTTCCCTCCTCAGAAGCAGCACGGCGCGGTTCCCCGCGTTTGGGAGCAGCAGCCAGCAGGCTGCCAGAGATCCGGCAGCGCCTGGCAGCGTGCAGAGGGACGCGATGGGGACGGGCCGTCCTCACTGCCACGCAAAAGTGAGTTTCTGCAGTCCTCTGCCATGACGGATGAAAGAATGCATTTTAAGTCTTACTGCTGAGCAGGTGCAGTGCTGCAGGGATGTCAAGGAACCATGGTGGAAGCGTTAAAGATGCCAACAGTGGTAGTGGATGGCAGCAGTCAGAGAGATGTCTGTGTGTACATGATGGTGCTGGGAACTGAGTGAATTCCTTCTAGGGCCAAAAAATACCTTCCTCAGCTTTTACCCCTGACAGCATTTTGTTTGCTGGTGCACCTTTGCTCTGCAGAATGCAGAGCTGTCAGGCAGACCGGGGTTGCTCTGCTGCCATCTGAGCAGGAATGAGAGCAGTAATGCTTTGTGTAAGCACACTGCAGTTTAACCATCAGTTTCTGTTTTGGTTTGTCTTTCGGTTTTCGGGGGTGGACGTGGGCTAACGGGACAGTGCTGCTCCTGTCTGTGAAATCACGCTCCATCTGTTGTTACAGGGACGGAGCCTGCGCGTCTGTGGGATGGTGCTGGGCCTGGGGGGAAACGTAAAGCCTCCGCAGGTAAGAAGCTCTTGTGAGCTGTGGTGTGGGTACTGCCTCTAAGCAGGGCTGTGCGTGATGGAGGAGAGAAGAAAGGCACTGCAGTTCTGTGCTGATGGCAGAAGTGGCACAGTGCCGAAGCAGTGGAAAAGCCAATTGAAGAAGCTGCGCTTGAGGACCAGAAGTTTGTGTCTGACTGTGCTGAGTTCTTCCTCAAAGGAGATGCTCTTCATGTATTTCTTGTTTTCTGTCAGAAGCTGATGCCAGCAGCCTTCCTCTGAAGCGCAGCCATGCGGAAAGGCAGGGGAGGAGCAGCGAGTGTGACAGGGCACCCAAGAGAGGTACAGCACACAACAGGCATCGGGGTTTGGGGCGCTCCAGATGAGATGTCCCAGCATTGCAGCCCATTCTGCAGACTGAAAGTAGCGTTGGGCTCTTGTTAACTCTTGCTGCTTCTCCTTCCTTAACAGAGATCGGTGCTGAGCCCAATGGCGATATCTATGTGAAAGTGGTGCAGCAGGTGCATTCGGAGAGAGCTTGTCAACAGGCAGCAGCTCAAGCTCCTCTCCAGGCTGGAGGGCTTCCTAGAAGAGCAGGTCCCAGCACAGGGGGAAGAGCTTCCCCTGCCACATGCCCCCGCTCCGTCTCCAAGGCCCAGGCTGGATGCAAACGCAAGGCCTTGGAGGAAGGGACACCAGCAGCAGTGCAGCTGCCTGCCAACAAGAGAGCGAGGGCTGAGAGCGGAGACAGCGTGCTGGCTCCAGCAGCACGGCCTGGGCCTGCCGCAGCGCGGAGCTCCAGGCGCAGAGGTGAGCAGGGCTGTGCTACCGCTGTGCTGAGCTGCTGCCCTCTGCAAGCACGCGGAGTCTGCTTGGGGTTTGCTTTGCTTTTTCATTCTCTGAAGAGGGGAAAGGGGTTGAAGGCTGCCGAGTCCAAAGGCAGCGAGGTGCCGGAATGTGCAAGCCCGTCTCTTTACCTGCATGGTGGTCTTCTGCACGTCCCACTGGAAATGTCATTCACTGGGGGGCTTCCTAGTCCAATTTCCTTTGTCTTTTTTCTGCCATTGGTTGCTGCAGTTTTGCTGCTGACAAAACAAATTCATCTTTTTTCTCGCTTTATAGCAAGAAGACAGCGACGAAAGGAGAGGAGAGCAGAACTGAAGAAGGCTTCTCTGAGAGCAGCTGCTGCATGTGCAGAGGTGAGTCCTGGTGAGTGCAGACATGGCTCTCGTTGCTCTCTGGGCCTCCGTCTGTCAGACATGAAAGATTTCCCGAGGGAAGTGCTGTCCTGTTTCTACACTCGCTCTGTTTCTTTCCAGTCCTCCGCCATGAACAGCCTTGTGGAGATGATGCAGAAGCTGCAGCTGCACGACTGAGAGGAGGAGCGACAGAAGGCAGCGCTGCAGTGTGCGGCGTTACAGGGCAGCGCTGCGAGTGCCGCCCAACTCGGCACTCCAACTTTGGGTGCAGTCAATAAAAAACAGCCGCAATTAGAGACTGACAAGAGGCACACGGCCCGCTTTGTCCAGCAGCACTCAGTGCCTGCTGCACCACCTCCTCGCTCTTGGTCAGAACTCCCACAGCTCCATCAGCGAATGCTCCCGTCTGTTGGTGCAGCGGAGGCAGCAGTCCTTTGCACTGCCCACAAACCGACCGCCTGCAGAGCACGTGCAGAGAGCTGCGAGTAACAAGGCCTGGCCACCAGCGTGCTGACTTAGAGAACGCTGCCACAGAGATTGCTGAGTTTCCCAGGGCAGTGCTGACTGTTTTTTGCTTTATGATGAGTGTACAATGAGCAAAGTTCCCCAAAAGGATGGCATTTGCTCAAAAAATGACAGGCTGCTGGTCCAGAGCAGTGTCTCTGCAGGTTAGGACCACCAAGCTGCCATCCCGGCACTGCTCTGCTCACAGACAGCGCTGCAGGTCGTGGCACTCAGAAGGCGCCCCTCTGTCGTGCAGCCCTCCACAGCGCCTGCCTGCCTGCCCCTGTGTGGGCTGGGATGGAGCTTTTCCTTTGCAGCGCCTGGTGTGACGCCGTGTCCTGGTTCCGTCGGTGCCATCCTGTGGGCTGCTGTGCACAGCGCAGTGCTGCGGAGCTGTGCTTCCCGGCCCTGTGCTCTCCAGCACTCTCGTGTGAGTTCTGCCTCTCCCAGGAATCTCCTGTTCCCAGGAACCTCTGCTCCTCCCTTGCACGCAGATCTGTGTGCACAGCCCTGTGCAGAACCGCATGCCCACGTGCAAGGACTTCCCTGCACACACACCTGAGCATCCACATGCACATGCAAGCACATCCTTGCACAGCCCTGTGTGCACGCTCCATCCACGTGCATGCAAACGTGTGCAAAACCACACAGCCTTGTGCAGAGACCTTGATGCACACACCCGTGTTCACGCACACATACCCGTGTGCAAACCCACCCCTTTGCACACCAACGTGCATGAAGACACGAGCGCAGCTCCAGCCCTGCACACAGCCGTGTGCACACACGTGCAAAACTAACATTCACGTGGAAACACCCTGCTCACACCCACATGCAATGCACACTGATGTTAACACCACCTCTAAGATGATCGGAGGGCTGGAGCAGCTCTGCTGTGAGGAAAGCTTGAGGGAACTGGGCTTGTTTAGCTTGGAGAAGACAAGGCCCTGGGGAGACCTCATTATGGCCTTCCAGTGCTTGAAGGGAGCGTATAAATAGGAGGGGAACGGCTGTGTGTGAGGGTGGGTGGTGATGGGACAAGAGGCTTTAAACTGAGACAGGGGAGGTTTAGGTTGGATATTAGGAAGAGGTTTTCCCCCAGAGGGTGGTGAGGCACTGGAACAGGCTGCCCAAGGGGGCTGTGGATGCCCCATCCCTGCAGGCATTCAAGGCCAGGCTGGATGTGGCTCTGGGCAGCCTGGCTGCTGGTTGGCGACCTGCACACAGCAGGGGGTTGGGACTGGATGAGCACTGTGCTCCTTTTCAACCCAGGCCGTTCTGTGATTCTATGATCTCTGCACACCCTGCATGCACACACACCTGCACTCACAGCTCTGTGACAAATGCCGCTCCCATGGCACAGCCAACATGCAGACGGGGGAAATGTCAGGAGCAAAGATGCCCCGCTGCACTCCTTCATTCTGCTCTCTGTAATGAAGGCACTGGGGCGCAGCTGCAGCCCATCCTGAGATGTGGGTTGCTGCAGGGTGCCTCGTTTGGACGCTGCGGGGTCAACCCGGAGCCGCAGCCTGAGGGACACTGCTCGTGTGCTCTGGAGATGGAAGATGTGCCAGGAGCCAAGGCAAGACTTTCACAGGCAGCGCAGGGTGGTGTTCCTGGGCCGGGCGGTGACACTGCCCTGGGATCTGCGTGTGTCCCGTCCTGCAGCGCTGCAGAAGGGCTCAGGGTGCAGCACTGCGGCACGGCTCACTGAGGAGGCCGGGTTAAGCAGCAGAGCCCCAGGTGGGATATGGGGGTCCTGGGACGGTGAGGGGGGTCCTGTCAGGGTCTGGAATGGGCTGCCCAGGGAGGTGGTTGAGCCACCATCCCTGCATGTATTCAACAACCCTCTGGATGTGGTGCTCAAGGACGAGACGTAGCGCAGGGCTATTGGTTAGGGTGGCACACTGCACGGCATCGCAGGGAGCGGGGCCGGGAGCTGCGTGACGTCTGCCCCCGTTATTGGCTGCCCGCGCGTGCCCGCCCCCCGTCTCCGCAGAGCCGATTGGTCGCCGCGGCCGTCACTCGACTCCAGGGCGGGCCGTGCGCATGCGCGTTTCGTCCGGCGGTGCCCGGCCCGCCATGCCGAATGAGGGCGAGCCCGGGCGACGGCCCTGCGGCGTCGTGACGTCATCGTTAGGCGACGCGCGGAGCTCGGGCTGCGCGTCACGTGAGCGGTGGGGGCTGCGGTTTGGGGCCGGAAGCGGCTCCG